TACCGATCAAAACTTTGGGCAGATATGGAATGTCTTATCAAGCCACCATCCAGCCAAAATAGCTATACCAAACGAAGTGCCAGATTCCGTTGCATATATTGGTACAATGGAGCGGCACCTTATGCCGAAAATGGCATTAAGTGGTAGTCTTGGAGTGATTTTCCGGCATGATAATACGGCTATTTGTAACTATTATCTAACAAAATGCTGAGTATTATTTAACGGTATTAAAACCGTGGTTTGCTCCGCATACATCCCAGCAGAAAACCTGTGGCTTATTGTGTTGAGTCAGTCTCCTGACATGACGCCACTCATGTGCTTACATGTTGCACTTTCTGGACATTGGGTCATGAACTAACAGGATCGAATACTCAACAGCCGTTCAGTTCAAACAGAATCCGTGAGACACACGGAACAGGAACGGCGATTGGTTAATAACCCTTTGATTAATGATATTTCTATTTGTAAACTATTAAAACCCATTAATTTCTCTCAATAAACGAAACGCTTATTCTGTGGCCCTTTTTCGCATCCCGATGACGGGAGATATCAGTGTACGATTGCTAGTACGATTCTGGGCTGCAGTTGTGCCTGTGATTCGTGATCCATAATCTGTACTTATGTGGTGATCGTGCAACGAATACTCACGCACCGCGGTACAGCTTCCGGCTAACCAATCAAGAATAGAATAACCGACCAATCCTGTGGTCCCGATTGGCATCAACCAGATTGGCCGAATACATGAAGGTATAATAATAAACCACACTGTCGCCGACTGGACGTCCAGGAACCGACCAATAACTGTTGGTCGCATGTGATATATATTTGCGTGCTTTTCTCAATAGAATTATCTGTATCCACAGCTCGTCTTGGTTTTACCTTGCGTTGCGTAATTCAGTGGGTTTTCAGTCCGAGTTCAAGTTCGCGCTGTTCAATTCCGGTTCCTGTTCGATTATTACAACTTACTTCGATTACTACAGTTATTTTTATACGAAAGGTGTACGAACAAGCAAGAGTTTAGGGCACAAAGCACCAATTGAAGGCTGCGTTGGTTACGACGTGAAATAATGCTGACACGGACATGATTTGAAATGTTATGATCTTATTGAAGTGTCTCCCATAGATAAAATTCCCCCGGGGTGTATGTTAATAACGATCATATTGCTAGGTATACCATAGATTTAGAACTAGAAGGCATTGCCGATGCGTGCATATTTTGTTATCTGACGGTTTAATCTATACACTGATGGTCGTCAGCACTTGTACTGGAGTGAAGCTTCTTTGGAACAGAATAGAAAAGAACCGGGTTTGCACACTCAGTCATTGTCACTTGTTACCTGCTCTCAAAAGATGCCTAAAATGTTCAATACCATCATTTAAGTCTGATATTTAACAAACCACTTGTCTCATTTGGTCAAGTTTAGTACATTAAGAGTATCATGATTCGCTACCACAATAATACACAATTTCGACAGATTTCAATTTAGACAAACGAATTCAGAGTATTTAACTTCTAAACAGTTTTAGTGGACTGAGCCCAGTGGTTGAATATATTTATTAGATTGCGGGACTGCATCCGGAAGTTTTTATTCACCCTTCTGTTAATCGTAATTAGCGGGATTCAGGGAAGCACTAGCACTGTCAAAATTGTGCGAAGTTTTCTGTCGTACTATATTGTCTTACGAATACCAGAAAAAACTTAGCACGTGAAAATGATTGATAGAATTCAGCCAGTTGACCCATTTAATTTGCGTGGACAGCTGATTGAGAGCACACGACATCGATGGTCAATGATAGTTCTGCTGGTATTGTGTTACTTCTTTTATTCAACTAAAAACTTTGTCTAGAACACAGGAAACAAGATGATTGGTTTTCTAACCACTGAGAATTATCCGATGGAAAATGGCTATATAGGAAGGTGTTGAACAAAATGGTATGGTCCAGTCAGCATGAGCAACAAATAGGGAGGGTTGTTGAGCAATCGTATACATCGGGAGTCTTAGGCAGGGTCAGGATAGCCACAGAATTGTTGAGACAACATCATCAATATCATCATACAGCGAAATACAGTGAAGTGAACTTCACTGATCGCTGCCAAACTAGCAATGGATACAAGATGAGTGGTCAAATGTAAGGTGGACGGGGATTGGACCTACTTTGAGGGAGGGAAGAGAAGGTGAACCACTATGGTGAACACAGAGTGCACAGTCGAACTCTGCATTCATACCGTTTCAAGCGTTTTGAACTGATAAGAAATGACAACAGGAACACCACTACTGCCGGTTCTCTGCTATATCCTTCAATGTCTCCGACCAACCGGTTGTAGAGTCTTTCGGACCCCAACCTGGAAGCCGAGAGACACCTACTCTATCTAATGGCTCTGTGCATTTCTGCATACATCGTCTCCACGTCATCTGCTAACCTCCACGTGATTTCTTCCAACCCGGATTAGCTACAGCGAATAAAGGGCGGTGCGGTAGACGATAGCTGGGCATACGCCCTAGCCAACGAAGTCTGCTGATCTGACGTCGATCTGCTAGCAGGTTTATCCCCGATAGACTCCGAAACACATGGTGGCTTACCTTCACCTCAATAGCCCGTTTGCTCCATCTCGCATGAGCTAAACTAAGTAAACACCGATAATCGAAAACTTCTAGTCCACGGATATCTTATACTCGCAAATTCAAGGTCTTACAGCCATAAAGCAGCACTGAACGAACACTAGCACAATATACACGATCTTTCAATTGTAAACGTCGCTTCTACGCCAAAGGTGTTTCAGTCCTGCGTATGCTGCTCGAGCCTTGGAAAGGCGGACAGTTACCTCCTTTGCTGCGCAACCGTCAATAATCACGCAGATACCTCAGTAGGAAAAGCAATCCACCAAAACTAATTCCTGACAATTCAGTTTCAGAGCGGGAGTAGGTGAAACCCAGTGCCACAGCATCACTTTGCACTTTGAAGGTACAAAACACATACAGAATGCAGCAATTGCATTTGTTAGTCTATCAAGTGCGTTTTGCGCCTCCTCCATACATTCGAACAGACAGACGACTTCATCGGCGTATTATGAATCGCATAGCTTTTCTCCATCCGACAATTCAAGACCACCTAGTGCGTTCTCTAGCATTTCGTTTACGAGGAAATTGAACAGAAACGGCGAAACAGGACACCCTTGATGAACGCCGTTGCTGGTGACGAATGGTCTACTTAGTTCATCGTAGACCCTCACATAACTAGAGGTATGCAAGTACATAGACTTCAGTAAGTTAACGTACTTCTGGAGCANTCTGGAGCATTCATTTTCGAAAAAGGGAGCCCATCAGAGCTACGGGGTCAACTGAGTCGAAGGCTCCTTTCAGGTCAAGGAACACTGCGATCGTTGGTCGGCGGTGGGTTTGACGCAGATCAAGGACCCGCAGCAACGCAAAACTTTGATCGATACATTCATGGCCAGGCCGAAACCCGGCTTGCTGTTCACGGATGTTGATCTCTCATAAAGGAGTCAGACGACGAAGTATGACCGAGACTAGCACTTTGGTGACGATCGGGATCAAACTGATCCAGCGGTGCTTTTCGCAGTCGTTGCGACATCCTTTCTTGAAAATGAGAACGATCGGTGATTCGCCCCCAGTTCAATTCAGTTGGTCTAGTGCTAACCAGATTGTCTCATTCGAAACTGAAGCTCTTTGGGCAGTGTCGTGCGATCCTCCAACGGAAGCAGAAGTTCGGTCTTGCATTCGAGCTCTAAAACTAGGAAAGGCAGCAGGACCAGACGAGCTTCCTCCCACTCTTTTCAAGATTGGAGATGAGAACCTCGTGAGCTCCATTACTACCTTACTGCGTAACAGTATCCTGCCCAGCAATCAATTCGTTCATCCCTGTTGTGAATAGTTATTTCCTCGGACGTATACGTCACTCGAGTCCACGTATCGTAGTGAGGACCGTAAGCTTCTGGCTATAAACAGTTTTGCCGGACTCTCCTTGATGGTAGCATGTGCGGCATTCCGGTATTGCAGTAGGAAGTTGTCTAGGAGTATCTCCAACTCTACAATTGTCCTTGGATTTGAAGAGGAAATGACACTCTTCACCGTTTTTAACAAAATTTCTGCTGCCTCGTTCGAGCAGGGGTGACGTGGTGCTTTGCACAGATATCGGCAGCCAATACTGTCCAGCCACGTTTTCAACTCCACCGCGCAGAATTGCGATCCATTGTCAGTTACCAACACTTGAGGAACACCCTCTCGACTGAAACACTTTCGTAGTACCCGCATCACAAACGATGTAGTTGGTGTACTGGTTAGAAACACTTCGGGCCATTTTGAGTACGAATCGTTAAGTATTAGCGCGTGATAATGAGCGAGAAATGGTCCACAGAAGTCGGCGTGCACACGTTGCCACGGAATACAGCTTTCTGGCCATGGAAACCAATTCTTCGGTTTTGACTTCTGCTTTTGTAGGCATGCTTCGCAGTTCTTAGCAGTTCGACTAATGTCTTCATCTAGACCGGACCACCAACACATCTGTCTTGCCAACGACTTCATCTTCTCCACCCTTAAGTGGCCTTTGTGCAGGTCTTCTAGCAGCGCCTTGCGTAGCGGAGGTGGGATGATCAGTCGATTGTTGCGGCATAGTATTCCGTCAGGTTAGAAACTAATTTCTTCACGGTGTGCATAGAATGCTGCGAACTTCCTCTTCAGATCGGGACGCTATCCTTTTGATAGAACCGTTATGATTTCTGCATAGTATCTTTTGGTACATCGGCGCAACTCCTCTCGTGATACCGAGGCAGCAGTAGCAATGAAATGACACCTCTTAGCCTCAGAGAATTCGGATCACCGCGAGATAAAATCGGCTTGGGGAATTGCTTTGACCGGACAGTGCACTATGTCATAGTCGTAGGCAGCCAATGCAGTGCTCCATGGCTGAATGATCGCCGCTGTCGGTTTGGAAATCGACTTTTAAGGACTGAATAGATACTGCAAAGCTTGATGATCGGTTATGATGATGAAACGCAACCAAACAGGTATTTGTGTAGGCGTCGGACGGCCCATTATACAGCTAGTGCTTCTTTCTGTGTCTGCGAATATTCTCGTTTTGCCGTGCTTAGTAGACGGAAGATGTAGACAACTGGGCATCCGTTCTGTTTGATGAGAGCACCAATGCCAAGATCTGATGCGTCGGTGATCAAAGTTAGATGTTTTGTCGGAGAGAACGAGGCAAGAACTGGTCGGTCAGTTATCATCTGAACGATTTCACGCAGACTTTGTTCACACTCGGTAGTCCATTTCCATTCCGTAGTCGACTGCGCAGCAAACAGCGGTTGGGCTTTTGTGGTGAAGTTCGAGATGAAACGCGAATAGTATTGGATACATTCCATGATGGATTTGAGTTGGTTTTGGTCACTTGGTGACTTGAGCTCAGTCAATGGCCGGAAGCGACTTGGATCAGGACGGTAGCATTTTGCATCCACAGTGAAGCCAAAACATTTCAATTCTGGTGAGCTGAACATACATTTGGATGCGCGAATTGACACGTTCTTTTGGGCGAACTGCTCCAGTAGTTTGAGAAGTCTATCGCCGTGCTCGGCTTTCGTTGTACCAAACACAGTAACATCGTCCTTGTACGCTAACACGCCATCGATCCCGCGAATAACTTCGTCAATCGCCGCCTGGAATATGTCTGGAGACGTGTGGAGACCAAACGGTAAGGAGTTGTATTGATATAGCCCCCATGGTGTATTGATAGTGGTGAAATGCCGGCAGGTTAGGTCGAGGGGAATCTGGAGGTGTGCATCAGCCAAGTCGATCTTCGAGAAGCATGTGCCACCGTGCAATGCTTTCATGAAGTCCTCTGGTCCTGAAACTGTAACGCGCCGCTCCAGGGTAGGCGTCATCACGTAGAACTGAACCACAACACATTATCATCATCAACATCATCGTCATCATGATTACCCAAATCATCATCATCATCATCATCATCATCATCATCATCATCATCACCAGCTTCTTCATTCTCTAAAAGCAAATCGCTTTTATTAGTGTGTGCATTTGCTGACCAAGGCGATGGGACATATTCATTTAAATGCCACGTTAGTGGTAAATGATGATAAAAATCAATTGATCTGTTTTCCTGAACTTTGGATCATTTTGTATTGTTTATGGAATTGGAAGGCATGAATAATCAAGGTTTATCTGAAAAAATCAGTTTGTACTTTTACTGATGTGTGATACGGTCCCGGCGACAACCTCGGTTCATTTCAGAGAACTCTGTCTTTTAAATTATCTGTAGTTATCCGTAGTTATGAAAAGCCACTCCTCATAACGAAGCTGAATGATTTTCCTAAATTTATTTCATGATCCACTTTTATGTTCCCGTTATGGATCGAGAATCTCCACGGTGTTATTTGATGTGTGCTATGAATGAATTCAAATGAGCCTAATAAGCTGTGGAATGATCGAAATCTTCCGTGAACAGGTTCTTTTTCATAAGAGGTATTTTGTAATGGTTCTCGCCGCCTGATCATAAGATACATCAGGAAGTGATAAAAAATAACTAATCGACAGCCAAACAGCAGTTAACTGACTGGTGACCGGCTATCTGACCGATTGCCTGAAAGAAAAAGTTCTCCCCTATGTTCACATGACAGATCTCACGTTGGGAAGTGATCCTCTGGTCGAGGTAGAGGAAGACTCCAGCGCTTTTACCATGCCCAGTCGAACACGTATATTTTAGGAAATGAGTTTATTCAACGCTTATAAATCCCTGTTTCTACCAGCTTTTGTGGTAACTTATTTCATTAGTTGACTATCTTGTCACTGAAGAAGTTCGAGTGCACCACCAGTCTGGTGCTCAATTTCTTCGTCTCATAAATGTGCCTCTTAATATTGCTCTACAATCTCTCAAGGAACACTGCCTTATCCGTCCCAGATTCCTAAATCCCTAGCCTTCTGAGTTTTTCCCCATGAAAGACCATCGTGGCTGTTTCTCACGAATAGATTTGCATCCCCATGGCCAAGACATGACTCTTTCTTTTGTACTTGGCCACGTAAGCATATTCTTTGTGTCGCTTTGTAATTCTTCTCTCCCAATCGATCCGTCGACCTTGACATTTTCCGCAAATGTGACGGTGACCGGAGCAAAGGCGTTTAGGAAGATCATCTATTTTGAGCAAGAAAAGAAGTGAACCTAGATTTATATTTTCACCAGGCCGTGCCTGGACGAGGATAGTTAATGGAACGGTCCAATAGTGGATGCGCATTCCTGTAGTTACTAAACTGAAGAAAGCAATTCACTTCAACAGGTCTTGTTCAGTTTTGACCGTTGCAAGAAACCACCAACCGCAAAGTTTGGCGTACTACTACTACTCACCAATGTGAGTGGCACCTTTGTGGCACCACACTAACAATCAGTTCCACCGATGATACTGGTGATATCCGGATATGGAAAGTTCGGTCGGTTAGAAAAGCAGTTAACCAGTTATCGATCTCACTCCTTATCTCTAGAGCATCTATATTGATGAAAAGTAAGCGATGACATTCGGATTCAGATGATTCCCTTGGGTCAAGAGAGAATAAATACCTCTACATTCTCTACCTCGTCCAGTTTCATTGTGACCTAATTTAGAAAGTGTGAAAGATTTATGGGACTAAATTTAATCTTCAGAAAACCACGCTGTGCCGCAAACAGCAGGCGGTATTGAGTGAGGTATCCACCTAATTTGGTTCTGATTATTATCTCTAGGGCTTTACACACGATAATTATGAGAATCACTAGATAGTAATTTTCTACTTGTTATCTTTCCCCTCCCTTATGTATAGCAAACACTATGACAGTTTTCTAGTCTTCTGATATACTTCCTGGCTCTACAGTCTTATTGTACAAGTAACAAGTTGGGCTCCACTATGTGTTGCACTATGGTTGGATGGATGCTATCTGGCCCAGAAAATTTGGTGGCATTAACCTCATTTATGTTCTTCGCACCTGTTCCATCATCTCTGATAAGTCAAGGATTCCTAGTCCAGAGGTGTGAATACCGGGCTGTTCTGTAGTGATTGGGTCCATCTTGTGTATGTTGTTAAAGTAGCCTTTTATGGGTTAGATCTATCATCCAGTATTACAGGTCCCACCTTCGCCTCCAGCTCTCCCCTAGACTGGATATAGCGGTGATATCCTTTTGTCTGGTATTTCGCACACTGTGCCAGTTTGAGCTCCTTTCACCGTCTGATCTCTCGTTGCACCACCATTATCTTATTCTCTAGTGTACTACATCGAGGATCTTTGGCTATCTGTGGATCTAAGGTGAGTCAGGTCCTAAAGAGTAATGGCTCCCTTTAAAGTTGGGCTCCACCACGGCGGTTAGATTTTCTCTACCCTGAGTTTCAGGGCAGCAAGTTCTCCCTACAGGAGCAGGATGTTTTTTGATCCGGCTTCAGCGCTTGTCTACAATGGTGTTTCCAGGCTCCGGTACCACGCCAGCTCAGCAGCTTTAACTTTTAGTCTTATTGCACATCTGTCTATTGGACATCCTATCATTTCTATGGTGCAGCAGACGTAGTTAGACGATGAGGACGATGTGTTCAGTTTTNAGTTTTACCTAACTGTGGGTGGTAGGTAGCAGTGGGTACATCTCGCTCCATCCTCACTATTAGGTCCAGCAGGGGTGGTCTGTCCGTGCCAAAACTGATTTGCGTGTGGAAACGTGTGGAGATGACAACACAGGTTCGACACTGGTGCTTGATGGAAACAAACATTGGCATCGACAAAGTTGAATCAGGCAGTCCCTATCGTTGATCCATCAGGTCGGAATTTCTCGGAGATCATCAAGACACCTTTCTGATCCATCCATATGCCTAATTTAGCGCTGAAAGTGCCCGGGGTTAGGGCAATATCCATTCAACTGACGGCTTAGATCAGGACATTTTTAGAAATTATCCTCCATTTTGGGTTCAGTGCAATCAGTTGGAGTGTATACGGACAAGAAGAATATGAACAGCCGGCTTGTGCTCGTGTTATTAAACTCCACCGAGAAAATGAGATTTACAGGACACGGTTAACCATGGACGTGAAGACAGTTCAGAGGAGACGAGCACTCAACTTAGGGTTTTCGCGCTATCCCTAAACCGGTAACAAACTGATCGTCAATTGCCAAACCGTCTGACACAAGCAAGAGGTTCAATCCGAAGAACACAAGGTGACAAATGAAGCGGTGTAATGTAGGTGTATGTTTTGGACTGAAACTTTGGATTGAAACTTGTAAAGGTTCTATCCAAGGCAGTTAGCTTGTGGGTTGAACTAACCTCCCAGTATGTGACCAATGAAAAAAGTATTGTTGATGAGACCTCAGTTTCATCAATCATCTAGCTTCTAATCGGCTCACGTAACTCAGATTACACAGTGCGTGGCACAATCTGAATGGCGAAACAAATAGAGGTGCTTCTTGTTTTTGGTATTGGTGAGGGAAAGAACTGGTCCGATCGAAAGTAGGCTTTTCCCAATGCAGGCCTAAAACCAGATGACATGGCACGTATTGAATTAGACAGGAGAAATTTGACTTGAAATGTGTTGGACGTATTCGCTCAAAAATTCTACTTGTTTCAATGTTTGATACTAACTCATATTGCCTTATTTCTTTTGCACCAATCTTGCGAAAAATACTGTGCTGATTAAAAACACGGTAATTTCAATAGTTTGATTAACAGAAGGAGGTATCCACCTCATTGTTTTCCATCATATGTCGCACTCACATTTGGGGCTCCAGAAAGACAAGGCACACAATCGCGGCCACATCCAGGCAAGTTGCTCAACATGTGAGCTATACTAGGTTGGGGGATAGCTGAGGTATGAAAGCTTTGGTCATGGATCTGTGGGTTTTAGCTGCATAGCCAATGCGTGCCTGCAAAATCAACAGAAATATTGCACCAAAAAATTGCTACCTTGAAGTCCGCTCTTGGTTGCGCTAAGGCTAGGTGTAGCGTCACCAGAAAACGTAGTGTGGCTCTGGAGATATCTCACGTATCAAACTCCTAAAAAATCCATGATCATCAGGAAACCGGGTTATCACCACCAAGGCACCAACTGTAGTAAAGTGTCAGGTAACGTGCCACTGAAGAGTTGGTAAACTTTATATTGATAGCGAAAACTCCTGATGCAAACAGAGTTCTGAGATTGAAACAAGACTAATTTTTCATTTCACTTTTTGACCTAGAAAGGACATTGATTTCGTATTTGGATCTGGAAAGAACAGGCTGGAACAACTGTGTGTTGCCACGAGGACTCAACATTTACAAGATATTGTCCAAAACATAAACTACAAGTCGTGGGTGATACAGGGTTCCTAGGTGATGGGGGAGCGGGGGGTTCTCGAGCCGGACTTAGAAA